GAGGAGGGCCCCAGGGGCCCGAGGCCCCGCCCCCGCCCCGCGCTGCCCGAGACCCCCGCCCGCCCTAGGTCATCGGCCCCGCCCCGGAGACCCGCGGCCCCGCCCAGCCCGGCGGAGCGCCTGCTAGGGGCCCCCTGCCCTCAGCAGGTCTCAGGTCCTGGGCGACAACTGAGGACCCAGCGCTGAGCGCACCAAGGGGATGGAAGACTCGGATCGCAGGTACGAAAGACTCCTCCGGTGGGCACCCGTGCTCCCAGCACTCTGTGAGGCCAAGGCAGGAGGCGGCAAGGGAGAGCTAGACCTGGGCACGGTAGGGACTTCAGCAGACCCTGCGTCTAAAGTAAGAAGGGCCCGGATGTAGCTCGGTGTGAAGGCCCAGGGTTTGAACTGCGGGGCTGAAATGATGAGGAACCCATGCCAGCGCCTGACTGGAGAGAGTGGCCAGCACAGGCATAGCGGCTGGAAGCCGACTTTGGGATCCAAAGCGCCGGGATAATACAAAGAGGAGAGATCGTGACCCCCTTTCTCAGACACCTGGGTTCCCACGGACTGGAGACCCTAGGCCACCCCTGGGGTTCGCTCTCTCCTGCCCCTCTGGCCCTGCCCAGGAGGGGACAACATCACTGTAATGGCCCTGGATGGCCTTCCCCAGGACCCTGCGCTGTCAGACCCGGCACTGTGCTCCCAGTAAGCGCGAATGACTGCTGCTCTTGGTGTTTGGGTATCTACAGGCCACACCTGGCTTGCCCAGGCTGTGAGCTCCAGAATGGGCACAATCCCAGTGCCCCCCACCCCAGGCCACCAAGGTAGGCTTTTGTCCCACCGCGGTAGCATCTTCCCATTGCCCCATGCCTGGCTTAGCACTTCCTCCTCTCTCTGGGCAGAAAGAAGGCCCGGAACCCACAGCCCACAAGAATGGGGGAAGGGATGTGCTGTAAGTGATGGCGTTGGTGCCCCGCCCTTTCCATCAGTGCAGTCAGTGACCGTGCAAAACTTGAACCCAGCCTAGCCCCTTGTTCAAAACTTCAGAGTGGATCGTAGGTAGAGCTGAATGTGAACCATAAACTTTAAAGCAGCTAGAAGAAAACAATGAAATCCTAGTTGTTCTGGGTTAGGCCAAAATAAAATCCATACGGAAAAAAAAAGCTGAAAAACTTGTCCATCTCACCGAAGAAAAAATTTCAGATGCAGCTCACAAGGTTAATCTTGACCACCTACGCCAAGCCCTGCTCACCACTCAATAACAGTTTCCTGCTTCTCCTGATAGTCTTCACTGTTTTACACCTTTTCCTCTGCCAAGTCCTATGTGCTTGTGTCGCTAGAATATTATGCCTTCTTAGAAAGCGCCTTCCTCTCCTCCGGCTCAGTCAGCATCCCTGTCAGGCAACTGCCTGCCTCTGTGACTCCTCCCACCCCAGTTCAGCAGGTTGAACTCAAGGACACAGGTCGCGCTGAGTCTGACCTGGGCCCTGTGCTGAGGAGATGCTACCAGGGTGAACACTGCTCTTCAAGCCCTGAAAGTTTTTGTGGATGCAGTAACTATCTCTGGAGGGCTGGTGGGCCTTTAACTCCTGAGACAGTGTAGTACAGAAGCAAGCAGCAGTAACGCCTGGGGAAGTCCGTGTGCAGCTTCTGTGAAATCGTGAGAAATAACTAGTGACAGTGACATTTGTCAAGGAGATGTGCCTGCTGCCTCCCAGGATAGGCCCTGGGCCCTGTGCTGCTGGCCCTGGACAGTGGCCCTTGTCCTTCTGGACGAGGCCACCAGACACCCTGCCCTGGAGCCAGGGTAGAGGTAGCCAGGCAGGGGCAAATGCCATCTGGGCCAGGCTCTGCCCAAAAAGAGAGAGGGGGTTTCACCAGCTCACAAGACAGGGCCCACGCTGGGTGGTCAAGAGGAGCAGCCACGGCCACGCACTGCAGGCTCTGGGTGACGTGGGAAGACCCAGAAGTCCTGAAGACCAGATGCTGCATGAGCGCCAGCAGGCACTGCAGCCCCAGCACGCCTCCATCAGGAAGGCTCTTAGGCATCACTGCCGCGAAGCAGAGCTGCCTGAATCCTGCTGACCTGCTGACCCTAAGCAGTCAGCTCTTACAGCTGTCTCTGTGGGTGGGAATTTGGAGTGTGGACTGTGCACTTCCCAGTCAAGGTGTTGGTGAGGCTGCAGTCAGACTGTGGCAGGCCAGGAGGAGCTACTTACCAGTCACAAGGTGGTGCCTTCCTCCAGGCGGCCTCAGTGCCTGGTGGCCATAGGGAAAGGCCTCAGACCCTGACCACAGAGAGAGAACAGGGTCCTTCTGTGGTCTGCACCCAGTAGCACCATGACTCCTACTCTGGATGTGTCACCTTCGCTAGGTTGAGAGATGCCTGGCTAGTGAACAGAGCACCACCCCGCTGCCCACTCCACAGGCGCTTCCTCCACCCAGTCCCGCCGTGGGCCGAGTCCCCGAACCTGTGGCCAGTGGGCTTCTCCTTCAGATTGTACCTTCGGATTTTGCATCCCAGCAGCAGCAGCTGAGGAGCACCGCTCTGCTCTGTTCTTCCTTCTACATCCTTTTCCTCAAAAGGTGACCAGCAAACTACTCAGGAAATTGGTGTGCAGATTCCTCAAATAACAGAGAGAATTCCACTTGATCCAGCAATTCCCCTTGTGGGCAGCCTCCCCAAGGAGGTAAAGATACCATATTCCCGTGACCCATGCCTTCCCGTGGAGACAGCAACACGGTTCACATCAGCTACCTCTTGAAAGCAGCCTGTGTGTCAGTCAGCAGATGGATGGATAAGGGAAACATGAGTTTCACACAGTGGAGTACTGCTGTGCCCTGAAGCAGGATAAACCTGAGTCATTTGTAGGAGCCTGGATGTTCAGTGAAATGAATCAGACATGCAGCTTAAATAGTGCGTGGTTTCCTTTATTTTATTCTATTTTATTTTTTCATGGTTTCCTTGAGATGAGAGACCCAATGTATGAAGAACAAAAGACAAGGTGAGCAAGAGGAGAGATGGACACTGCACGTGCGAAGGGACCAAGAGATGCACAGGAGCAGAGGGGGAGGGGCAGGGGTTGCGTAGGAGGTTAAGACATGCTGCACGCGTGTGCCAGTCCACACAGGGAGTGCGGACCCCAGGATGGCAACTGGGGGCTGATGGCCACTCTTGGAAAAGAAAGCCGTCACCAAGGAGACCCCAACACAGGGAGGGCATGCAGGCTCTGCCACAGAGGGAACAAGGAGAGGCAGCCTTCTCAGCCTTGGGCCAGGGAACAGTAGCTATTGGCTGCATCAAGGAGGACGAGGGCCATTGCCCAGTGCCAGCAGCGCAGGACCTGGGGCTGTCCAGGGCAGCAGGCATCACATCCTCTTGGCAGAGGTGCTCCCAGTCCTAAGAGGGAGCCAGCACCCTGCCAAGACCAGGATGCAGATTGGGGTGTCCATGACTGTCTCAGTTACTCTTCTCCCTTTCTTGGGCCAAATGCCCAACCCCCACAGTGAAGGAAGGGAAGGTGTATTTAGCTCACAGTCACCAGAGGATTCAGTCCATACTCAGCTGGCTCCAAGGCAGAGTGCCATGGATGTTGTTGGCAGCTTTTAGTGAGATTCATGTTGAGAATCCAGAGTAAAGAGCACAGCAGGGTGATTTAAAATGTGAGTTTGGCCAAAGAGGAAGCTCCAATAAAGCTGTGGAATACAAAGATAGAGTGAGAGGATCTCCACTGCCTGCCAGGAAGTAACCAGTAATCAAAAGGATGGCCTGAAGGCGTCACTGAAGGCAGAAGGTTTCCACCCTTTGCAGTCTCAGAATTGCAAAGGTCAGGGACTTTGCCTTGAGAGAAAAGCCTCAGAGCCCCATGACAGCAGCCGCACCAGGTTCCAGAATGGTGCCAGCTCGGAGAATTTATCCCTCAGAATCAGGGTCAGAGTGCTCAGTGATCCAAGCACTCAAGCCCTACAGCCAAGAGAGGAGGCCTGGCTACCGCTCCAGCTGGCGGCAGCCCTTGGCATCTTCCACATGGCGATGGTTTTAGGCACTTGCACGGTGCAGGTGTTCTGAGGTTAAGAAGGCTTCCACCTCAATTTTAGAAGAAAGCCTGGGAGGCAGGCAGTGTGCCCCTGGGAGGGCAGAGTGTGAAGCGTGAGTGAGCAGTCTATTCAGTGCAAACCCTAGAAGTTTGGAAAAGCCAGGAATGTGGATCAT